GGAGTTTTATGCAGCAATAAAAACAAATTAGCCCAGCCAGAGTGGTTCAGTGGTCACTGGTTCGAATCCCGGTCAGGTCACATGCCCAGGTTGCGGGCTCCATTCCTAGTTGGGGCCATGCAGGAGGCAGCTGATAGATGTTGATGCTTCTCTCTCATGGATGTTTTTATTTCTCTCTCCTCCCTTCCCTTTTTCCCTAAAAAAAAAAAAAAATCAGTAAAAACATATAAAAAATTAACTACAATGAATTATAGCAAAGTGAAAAAATCGAGTCCCCTCAAATTATATACAGCCTGAAACACTCTGTATAAAGTTAAAACAATTAAACAACATGCATGCATTCTCTCTCTCTCTCTCTCTCTCTCTCTCTCTCTCTCTTTCTCTCTCTCCATAATTGCAAAACTATATAACAGTGAAAGCAAGGGAATGATGAACAAAACATTCAACAATGAACTCAAGATTCAGGTGGATGGTTACTTTGGACTAGAAGAGTCAGGAGATGAGCCCTGGCCGGATTGGCTGAGCGGTTAGAGTGTTGGCCTGTGGTCCAGAGAGACCAGGGTTCGGTTCCCGCTAAGGGCATGTACCTCGGTTGCAGTTTGTTCCCGGCCCTGGTTGGTCGTGCGGGTGGCAGCCACTCGATGTGTCCCTTTCACATCGATGTTTCTCTCTCTTTCTCTCTCTCCCTCCCACTCTAACTGAACAAAAAATGGAAAAATGTCCTCAGGTGAGGATTAAAAAAAAAGAGAGAGACAGGAGGTGACTTAATGGGAAAAACCATATGGTTATACAAATAGTTTATTGACAAGTTTCTAGGTTTTATAAATAAAAACATACCAGGCATGGGCAATGATGAAAACATGTTGTGAAACAAGGAGTATGATTAATCAAATTCTGTGTTTCTGAGTTCCATAAAATATTTTTTTTTTCCAAATGAGAAAATTACTAAAAGGCTTACTTTCCACATTTAAAAATAAGGCACAGAAAACATTTATAAGGGACCTTGCTTGACTAATTAAAGCTCACTGAGAGGAGGAACTTGTGCAGTGGGGTGAAGAGAACATGCGTCTGTGTTGGATGTTCAGAGGGATATCAATCAGCAGGGCATGCAACCTCTGAAGGAAGCTTCCACACAGTACAACTCAGAAATAGAACTGTGATCTCCAAGGTCATTTCAAAGGTGAGGGTGGTAGTGGGTCACCAGTCATACGTGAATTTACTCCAATAGTTTACATCTGTTTAGCTATAAGTCCCAATTAAAATAAATAAATATATATATATGTTTTATTGATTTTTAGACAGGAAAGGAGAGAGAAATAGAAACATTGGTCAGCTGCCTCTTGCACGCCCCCTACTGGGGATCGAGCCTGCAATCAGGGCATGTGCCCTGAGCAGGAATCAAACCATGACCTCTCAGTCCATGGGACCATGCTCAATCCACTGAGCCACACCAGCAGGTCTATAAATCCCAATTTATACCAGAACTTCTGCTGACACTACCAAAACTGGCACTACTGTTCCAGAAGCCTTTTTCTTCATCGTGGACAAGCAATAGCTTTTTTCTGTAAAGGGCTAAATAGTAAATATTTTAGGCTCGGCAAGGTATAAGATGCTGTCACGACTATTCAAACCAGCCATTGTAGTTATAAAAGCAGCCATGAGGAAAATTTAAATAACTGACTATCGCTGTGTTCTGATAAAACTTGAATTATGAAAATAGGTGACAGGCCAGATTTGGCCCCAAAACATGGTTTGTTGAAGCCAGTTCTATACAATGATTGGTCTTTTATCTATGGTGGGAGGATATCAATACAGCATGCTTGCCAGCATGGTGAGATGATATTTGGACCAGACCTTAGGGTTAATATTATCTCCCCAAAGTAGTTACACCTTCTAACATGAGAAGAAAAACTCTATGATCTACCGGGGTGGGGAAACCTTTTTCTGCCAACGACCATTTTAATATTTATAACATCATTTGTGAGCCATACAAAATTATCAACTTAAAAATTAGCCTGCTGTATTTGGTCAGGCTAATTTGGTGAGGCATGTGCGATGTTAGCTGGTATTGATTCGCAGGCCTTATACGACCCATGGGCTGGACGTTCCCCACCCGATAGAATCTTGACAATGGAATTGTTATTAAATGACACTCTCCAGGGCTGCCCGTTTGAGATGAGGATTTGAGTGAAAGCAAATAGCAAAGGGAGTTTAAAGCAAGCTTCTCAGTTTTCTTTGGGGAGCAGGACTTATCAGTGCTTTCAGAACCCAAGATGCCTTTCTGGAGGGATCTACAAACTGCCTATATACCTTCACTGTCTATAAATTTGAAGCTATTTGAAAATGAAATAAGCTTTATTCTACCAGCCATTCATAAAATGGTTTAGGATAGCTTTGGGGACCTTTGGACATATTTTTTTTTTCATCTTCTTTTTTAGAGTGGATAACGAGCTCACTTTTCCCAGTTTAGCATTCTGTTATTTCTGTAAAAACAAACAGACAAACTCCCACTAAAAAAGGTAACCCAAATCAGTTTTCCTGATTCAGATGATCGCCTAAAGCTTTTATGTGGCGATTTAAAGGACCAGTATCTTCAGCATGATGCGGACCATGCTGGCTTTCCATGCGCAGAGAAGAGACTGCAATACTTCTTGAGTGAACAATTTAGGGTTGCAGGCGGACTCACCAGCTGTGTGTGGAGGAGCAAAGGCACAGGTATTTGGGTACAACTGAAAATGAAGGAATCACATTAAGCATTGCACACAGAGCCAGGGTAACAGTAACAGTTTAAAGAACTCCATGTTTCAGTGTTGTTGAGGGAGGCATAATGACCTTGGGTAGATATTTATTCAAAGAAGAGGCATTGTTTCTGAATTTGAAAATGTGGCTGATAGAGACAAACACACAAATAGAGTGTTTGTTGTTTATGACCAAGGGCAATTATCTGTGTTTTAACTTTTGCTATGGTTATTAAGTCTATTTGTGTTACAGTAACAGTTAATTTTGTGTAAGTTGGGCAGGCCCATCAAAGTCCGGAAAATTATTTTGTTTAAAAGCTTACCAGAATAGCGAAGGTACCAGAGAAAATAACTGGGTCCCATAGACGTTGAGAGCCCTTGTCCAGAGAGTTGCCACAGAGATTTTAAAATATTTTCCTTGTGGAAAATCTCCTAGAAAACTCACATCAGTACATTCTTCAGTCTATTTCCCAAACATATTCTGAATGTGTGCCAATCTCCCTACTGCTGGTGCCAATGCTCTCGGCCACGCCGTTGCAGATCCTGTGCCTGGACTCTGCAGTGGCACCTGGCTCCACTCCGGCTTCTCGTGCCTTTTCTCTGCCCAGCAGCCAAATCGATTGTTTAGAAACACGAACTTCATCAAGTAATCTCCCTGCTCATGTCTTTTAAGGGTTTTCCATTTCTGATAGAACAGCTTTAACTCCTTGCTGTGCCCAGTGCCCAGAGTCATTGTGTCCACTCTCTCCTCATGCTGAGTTCGCCCTGCTCCAACACCAGTCTTATCCATCTCCAAGTACTCCTTGCTTCTTTTCTTCCCGCCTAGGGAAGGTGGCTTCCTCTTGGGGCTTCTCAAGAGAAATGACGAGATGAAATTTCCATGTCCGCTCTGGTGAGGGACTGGAGGGATCAGAGGGCCTCCTTCCCAGAATCTCCCCCCACCTCCTGCCCACTGTTTAAGTAGTTCCCAGATTTTGACATAGGGCAGCAGGACAGGTGGATATTTTTGTGTCCATTCTTCTCTAAAATTAGCAGTTGAAAACAATGAAAGAAGTCTCACCCTTAGAGGCTGATAAACAGAACAAATAACCGAGAGTTACTAAATATTATCTTGGGTAGATAGAATACATTGTAGAAAAAAAAAATGTTCTCACTGATTTGGTTATTAAGTATTCATCACACACACACACACACCCCTCACAGCTTTCTAAATGTATTTATTAAATAAACCTAGTAAAGGGAAAAGAATCCTTCTTGATCTTGTTATGCTGATTTGTTTATTTTCCCCTTCAGTCAGAACAAAATCTAGGAGGTAGAGAGCTAGACTGTTTTGCTTATTATTATATCCCTTGCACCAAGAATAGTATTTGGCATGAAATAGGCACTCAACAACTATTCGTTGAATGAAAGAACAATAATTTCAGCAATTCCTTGAGGTAAGTGCTGTAATTATCCTATAACTTCAATTGAAAATCTGAGGCTAATGAACTTGTCCAGGGTCACAGCTAGTCAGAGCTGGATTTGGGTTCTTCAAAACAGGAGCTTTTAAGCATTCCATACCATATTCTGAGGTTTCTCCCTTTAAAATGTTAATCCAGGCCATTCTTTTTAGTCCATCCCGAATTCCACCTGGATATGACCACCTTAGTACCCGACAAACCTCTAATTTTTCATTCATCCAAACCAGCTAGCAAGTTACTGGTTAGGATAATTGGTAAACATTGGTTTTCTCACGTCAGCCTCCTGTACTTAAATGCTGTTGCCACCCTATGTTTCCAAGTCTATTTCTGTTAGGTGTCATCTTAGGTTATCCAGCTACCCAGAAAATTGAATTTAGGCGCAATTTCTCAGCATCTCAGTTTACTAAGTGAATAAATCAGCAAGTCTGATTTTTCTTCTTAATCACAAAAGAAAAAAAAACTGAGAAAACCGGGGCTCAGCAAGTTAAATAACATGGACTCATTAACTGACTTTCTCTGCGGCCTTTGACAGGATGTGATAGTAAGTGCCACATTCACAGAAGGGTTAACTCTTAATGAGAAAAACTAAACCAGCAAGGAGGAGCCTCTGCTTCCAAGTGACTAATCTTTCCTATAACCTGATTTATGCAATCCGCAGAGCCAAAAAAACTTTATCAAAGGATTAGAACTACATAAACAAAGATCCCTTTCTTTGCCTCTCTGATTCAGAGCAAGACACTCCGGCTCACACGTGTGCAAAGTTTTCTTCATGTTGGCCACTCAATATATAGTTTGACAAAATCTGATGATCTTACAGCATTGAAGCAGCAGGGAATGAAGATGGTGGTGAATACTAAGGTAAAAGAAATTCATTTATTTGGGTTATAATTCAGTCACTTTTGCTTGGAAAAAAATGTAAGGTAGATTTCAAACTCATTCGCCATAAGACACTGGGTTTTCTAATTGCTTTGTCTATAATTTCTTGACAGTAACCACACTTTTATTTAATGCAGGATCGTGTAAGAGTAATAATACTGGTTTTTCACAAACAGGCATATGGGTATATACTTTTCCAATGTGTAGTAACAAGATGGTTTGGAGAATGGGAAGTGAGTGGAAGTGATTCCAGATAGTGCTGTTTTCCTCCGACTTTGTCCAAGGCTGGAAAAGCCCTCTTTGTTTATCCAGTTCCTCCAACTCTGACCTTCAAGTTTCTGATCAGGTTCTATGTTCTTCACATCTCTCTCTCCCTCCCCTGAAATCCTGGCACATCACACACACACACACATACCCCCCCCCCCCCCACTGGAGTTTCCTTTCAAAATTCAAAAATGACAGAGTTATTTTTCTTAAGGTCAAATAACAGAAATTATAATAACAGAAAGTCAATTTAACACATGTCTTTTTACAGTTTTCCTATGCTCATGTAAAAAATATATAAAACATATAATTACACATGTTTATGCACTTATCCCCCTGCACCTACTTTTATATACATGGCTGGGGCCATCATTATATACATGATTTCACTTGTTGCTGTATTTATTTAACTGTGTACTATGGACATTCCTCTAGGTCAGCACATGTATTTAAATCATTCTTGGCTTCTATTTTTAGGAAGAAATGTGTGTATTTCTATAGAATGGATTGCCAAAAGTGAAATTACAAAAAAAAAAAAAAAAGTGTACCATGATGCACAACCCCACCACTTCTCTGTTCCGTTGGATGTTATAAATCTTTTAAAATTCTGTTGATTTATTATATGAAAAAAATAGTCATTGTGTTGTTTTGAATCACATGCCCTTGGCTATTAGTGAAAATTAGCATCTTTATAAAAGACTTTTTATGAATATTTTTGTCCATTTGTATTTCCTCTTTTATGAACCCTGGTTCATACCTACTTATTTTTTAAATCAATTTGTATGAGTTCTGTATTTACATTAGAGACATAAACTCCTGCCTCATATATATTTCAATTTCTCTTTCTCTTTTTCTAACCTTATTTATGGGTTTGTTTGTTTTTTTGCTTTTGTGTAATTTGTATTATGAGGTCGACTCTAATTTTCTTCCATTATATTTTCTTGGGGTTTGGGGAGGTCTTTTTCAAGTTTTTTCTGACCCTAACATTTGACTAGTTTTTTTCCAACTATTTTTATATTCTACATAAAATTTTTAATCCATTGCTCTCTTCGCTTTCGAACATTCCATTAGGTAGGGCTGTCACTCTATTTTCTGTCCCGATAGAGATCTAATTATGATATAGAGATTCTTATATAAGTAAGCTATATTTTTTCTGCTGAACTATTATTGAAGTATTTACCATACATTCCAGTTTCATTTATACTGGATCTAGTTATGGGCTCAGTTTTGTACCAGTGACTTGACTGTGTTTGGCTCATGACTTGCTGTTTTAAGCAGGTTACTGTTACAGAAGGTTTACGCTTTCTTACAGCAGTACGGCAGGTGCCCGCAATCTTTTTCAATTTCAGAGCGGGATGAAGTGTCCTTTCTCCTGACCTCAAGCCTAGCGAGCATGACTTTACATTTGTTCAGAGTGCATCAGGTTTGTCCTCTGTAGTTTGGAGGACACGAGGGACTGGTATCTGACTCCTACTTAAGAAGTCGAAAAGGTTACTGATGGATCCATCTGCCAGGAGGCAGAAGGAAGATAGGACTCTTATCTTATTTTATTATCTTCTATCTTTTTAAAATTGAGGAAGAGAGAAACATTGATCAGTCAGCTGCCTCCTGCACACCCCCTACCAGGGATGGAGCCTGTGACCTGGGCATGTACACTGACCCAGAATGGAACTGACAACATTTCAGTGCATAGGTCAACGTCCAACCAACTGAGCCACATCGGTCAGGGCAAGAGGGCTCTATGTTAACAGTAGTGGCACTCCAGTCAATGGTGGGCCGACCAGAGCTAGTTTGGGGTTGTCTGTTATGGACTGATCGGATTACATGAAGCAGTGTTGAGACCTCAGTTGAAAGAGGCTAAAGGTGTATTTTGCCTATCTAAATTTGAAGGCGACATTGTGTGTGACTAATCAGAGAAGGTGCATGGTGTGTTTACCCTGCTGAGAACACAGCAGGTGACAGATCATGATTGAAGGATGGGATCTCCAAAGACCCACAGAAGTGGCCGTGAGTGTCAGTTTTAAATATCCATCCTCGCCAAAGGAGGCAAGCTTGACATTTCCTGCCCGAATAACTCCTCCCGTATAAGTTTCAAATCTGGAGGAGACAGAGCAGCCTGTTCAGCTGTGAGGGAAGAAATGGATGTTTGGGCGTGGGGAGAGGTTGGGAGAAACTGGGAAAGAAAATAGAGAAAAAAACCTGGACTCTCCCAAATATAGTCTTTGGATATGTTGTACTGGGAGAAAAGAAGTTTTAATTTAAATGAAGTTCAAAGTGTTATAGATATATTAATCCTGAACTGAACTTTTTTGTGGGACTAAACATGCTCAGAGGGCTTTTTTTCCCCTTCCCTTTGAAAGTCAATAGAATATTCGAGATTTCATTTAGTGTCAGGAAAGGAACTCTCCCCATAAAATGAATTTGATAGGCAGAGAGAGAAAAGTAAGGCTATTTTCTGATTTCACCACAAAACACCTATTTGTTTAAGGCACTTGAACCTGCCATCCATTTCTAATGTAAATATTGCTTTCAAGCACCAGGTTTGATTTGTTCAACTTTAATGCCTATTTTCAAGACTACATCCCTTTCAGTAAACATTGGCCTTCTCCTTAGAAAGGCACCAAGATTATAATTTTGCATTCCTGCAACCCTCCCTTCATTTCAGTGTACTGCTGCTGGTTTTCCTACTTAAATATTTTCTACACATATTTTTTACTTAAATGTTTTCTAAACATAACTATTTTACCATCTAACCTGGAGGTAACTTTTGAATCAGGGGAATAGATTTAGCTTTAGAGGCATGTCATCTGTTGACCAAACTCAAAGAGTTTTGGAGGCTTTGGCTAGAAATAAATTATAAATATTTAATCAAGGGTCTTATGGTTTGCAAAACAGAAACACAGCTAGGCAAAAACCTAGAAGTATTCCAAAGAAGAAAGAAAAATAAAGAGTTCTTATAGTAAAAAGTGCATTATTGAGAATTATCAGTCCAGTAGTCTTCTGCTTAGGATCAGTCCAGGACTGTTATCAGTCAGATGTCAGGAGGTCTGGATGATGAATTCCAGGTGGTCTGGAAGATGGATGGCAGAGGTCTAGTCACACCGGTGTTCTGGACAATGGATGTTAGATGAGTATCACAAGATCTGGATATGTGAGTACCTGGTGTAGGTCCAGGTTTTGACACACACGAACTGATATATACCTAAGCACTGACATAAGACTGGAAGGGTCAAAACTTTGTTCCCAGGAGAGTGAGGACACCATACAATTGTTTCTTCATGCCTCAACTTTCATAATGTTAAAAAATTTATCAGCTTGTTTAAAGTGACTCCATTTTTTTATATTCTGTATCTTCACTCTCTCCTCACACCAGCTCCATAGGAAGGGGATTGGTGAGGACAGTCAAAGCATGTGAACCAAATCTGGGCTACTCTATAAAGGGAGAGTGATAATAATTTTAGAAGTTTATATAGCATTTTAAATCTTCAGAATAGCCATTTATTTTTTATAAGACAAGAATTAAATAAAACCACATGTCCCATATTTGAAATGAGGACAGAAAGTAGAAAATGTCTTAAGTGTTAACTTAGTACAGGGACCTAGAGGCAGAACAAGGACAAGATGAAGCTTAAGCTTTCAGTTATTTTGGGTAGCAATAGAATCAACAGGAGTGACCAATTATTGAAATTAGCAATATGCCAGGCTCTCCGACAGGCACTTTACATTATTTATCTCATTTTTTATTATATGCCACGTGGATGTCTAATCTTTTGACGATCCAGAAAGAGAAGATTTAGATATCTCCTATTTGAATCAATTCTGGGAAATCTAATGAGGTCTACCTAAAATGGCCTCTTGGCAGTCACTTGGCAGTTCCTGAAGCATGAGATAGATTTAGGTTTTTGAGTTTTAAAAGTAGAATTCATTGAGATGTTGCTGCAGCAGCTTGGGTGTTCCAAAACGTCAGCCAAATATATGACGTTGGTAATGCCAGAAAAGGATGGAAGAATATAGACTGAGTTGTACATTGGGTTGGCTCACCAACATTTTTCTCTTACAAATTGGAATTTTTTGACAGTAACAATCTGTGATTTTATCTATTATGAGACTGTAATATGGTGGTCCAGTGAAACAGTCTAAAATATATTTACATTCTAAAAAGGAAAAACAGCATATGAAATAGGACGATGAAAATGCCATAGGGGCCCTGGCTGGTTTGGCTCAGCGGTTAGAGCGTCAGCCTGCGGTCCAGAGAGACCTGGGTTCGGTTCCCACTAAGGGCACATATCTTGGTTGCAGTTTGTCCCTGGCTCTGGTTGGGTTGTGCAGGTGGCAACCACTCGATGTGTCCCTTTCATGTCGATGTTTCTCTCTCTCTTCCTCTCTTTTCCTCCCACTCTATCTGAACAAAAGATGGAAAGGTGTCCTCGGGTGAGGATAAAAAAAAGAAAATGCCATAGGAGGCACCTCATTTTGAAGAAATCCTGGTTTCTTTTTCTATCAATTTTCTTTCTTTTATCTCTGTGTGGGTGTGATTTTCTTCTTCATTTCCTAGTGACCCATGTCATTTATTTTTTATGCTGCAGATCTTAGTGTTAAAACCCATGCTATCTTCTACTAATTGGTAGGACTACCTACTATTTAAATTCAGTGCAAACTACAACGTCACAAATATACACTTGAGTAGTGGACATATTTTTAACTTTGTTTATGTCATT